TCTGTAGGCAATACGCACAGCTGGGAAAGATAATTAAATAGGCTCATTTGAGAGATGTACAACATTTCAATAGAGAGACCTAGCAATCCTGCTGGTCTTCCATTGAAAACTTTTACTAACAGACATCCCTCAGACCCATTTCATAATCACCATACTTACATGGTACAAAGGATTAGGGGGAGCTTGTTCGGCTCCCAAAAGACTACTAAAACTGTCACACCTAAACAACACTGGAATTCTAAAGAGAGAATTAAAATGTGTGATTCCCATTTAAATATAAAGTTGCCATCAGAAAGCAGGCCTTTGGTTTTCCCAAGTTGATTGGTTACATGACCAACTGCAATTCTAAGAACTTGGGAGTCAGTCCCCAAGCCCATCCTTTATAATTTTCTGAGGCTTATGTAAGGAATTTAATATTACAGGGTAAGCTCTTCGTGGGTAAACATATCACGTGATGCCTTTTTTGTGTACACAAAATAGTGAATGTCAGAAAAAGACAGAAAAAGACTTGCTTTTAAATGTTAACCTTTCTAGGCTGAGGATGTAGCTCAGTTGGTAGAGTGCTTGCCTTGCAGGCACAAGGCCCTGGGTTCAATCCCCAGCACCACACACACACACACACACACACACACACACACACACACACACAAAGTTAGCATTTCTGAAAGTGAGTTTAACTTATAGGGTAGGTTTATCTCACTATTAGGAGACTTTATTCAGAGAGTTGAGGGACATATTTCATTTTATGTTCTTCCCCTGGGTTTGTTGTTTTCCTATTAGACCAGAAGAAAGAGAAGCATTTATTATTGAGCCAGGTGATGTCTCCTCTGGAGAAATCCTGGTCCTTTTTGTCCCAGGGCACTAGGTGAACATCGACGTATTGCAGATATTTATGTTCCTTTTTCCCCCAGGCAGGTCTGAAACCAAAAAAATAGCTTTTTAGTTTTCAAGATTTTCTTATGATCAATGCCACCCATTTCCTCATTTGTCCAGATACCAGTCTGTGTCACCTGAGTGGAATCCATTCTTTCCAGTTGAAAGGTACCTGCCCTGACAAAGGCTAAGCTATTATGAGCCCTGGAATGGCTGTGTGATGTTCTGGAAGTTGCAATAAATTTGAGCTTTAAAAAAAGTGGGCTTTGAGAGATCATCCATTTTGTGGCTCTAATAGGTACATAGTCTAGTGGGTCCTACAAATACGTGAATAATTGACGTGAGTACGGTGTGACGAAAAGGTCTGGTAGAAAACATGGATGCTCAATATGATTAGGAAAATGCAAATCAAACCACAATGTCACTGTTATACCCTTATATCTATTAGAATGTCTAAAATGAAAAAGACTGACCACACTGATACGGGCAAGGATGCGGAACACCTGCTGTTCTCATCCATCGCTGGTGGGTATGTAAAGTGGTACGACCACTTTTGAAAATTGTATGGCAGTTTCTAAGAAGCACTGCACATTTAAATATCTAACCAAGAGCAATGGAAGTATATGTCCATACCAAAACTGATACATAAATTGCTCATAACGGTTTTACTTGTAATAACTCAAATCTGAAAACAATCGAAATGCCCAATGATAGGATAAATGTGTACTTAGTGATTCAATAATCCACTCCATGAGAGAAGGAATCAACTATCCATACAAGCAACATCATGATTAAGTATTAGACTAATAGGGAAGTCATACAAAAAGGTAAGAGGTGGTAAGAGGTGATTAGGAATTGACTTTGTTAACTGTAGGAACAGAGAGGAGAGGAAGACTAATGGATTAGGTTTGATGATGAGATGATGGCAAGAAAAGGGGACATAGGCTGTGAGGTTTGTTTCAGGCTTAAATTTCTGTATCTGGATCTCACTTATTTGGTGATGAAGATTAAGTGCTATACAATGCATAGGCATGTACAAATATGAGCTAATTATTTAAGGCTGAGCTGTGGATAGCACCAAGACCCTCAAGAAGAAATATCCATTAGGCAGATCATTTATAGTTGACTAATTAAGGAAGTCATCTTACATTTTGACTTTTCAATTAATGCAATATTAGATTGCTAATTGAATTAGAAATAGCAAGAAAAAAAGAGAACATTAAAAAAGATTTATATAGCCATTCTCATGGATAAGTGGGAACAGAGCTGAGGGTAAGGAGCAAGAAGAAGGAAACACACTGTGCCCCTGGGCCAAAGAACAGGAAGCTGATCTGAAAACCAAAAGAACTTTATGGACAGCATCTTCGTTTAATTTCCCTGTCACTAATTTATCCTTATGTGTGTGGTTAGATTTACTTGGTCATTCAATTCAAATTCTATAATTAAGGAAAGCTCAGAAGAGGTCATGTTAATTGTGGTCAAGGGCACAAGCACTGGAGATTACATTCCCATCTCTGAGTATCTGTTTTCTTATTTTGTAAATAGGTGTCACTTCCCACCTCTTCTGGATATTGTATTAATAAAAATGAGAAGAACCAAGTACAGGAAGCACTTGGCACTGCCTCTAACTTATAGTAAGGCACTCGTAAGCTGGTCTTTCTTTCTTCCTCTTCTTCTTCCCTCCATTTTCTTCTCCTTTGCCACATTCTTATCTTTGTTCTTCCTCCTATTCCTTATTGTTATATTTTGAGCATCCAGCATTTGTCATTAATGATTGGAAAAAGCTTTAATATCCTAATCAACAATTTGGAAAAAGGGCACATTTTAATGTTTTTTTTTTTACCAAAAGTAATCATAATGTCACCTTTAATCATCTGTTTCATTCTCCCAAGTGACTTACTTACATGTTATTTCTTGAGTTTTCGACAGATTATGAAAGAAGATCATATGATATGATCTTTTAGATATGAAGAAAAAAAATAGGTGTTTAATGACTTTGGTCCTACCTGAGTGCCAGTTTCTGTATGGTATAAGACAAGTAATTTAAATTTCTTGCACCTTAGTATTTTCAACGAAGCACAAATGAATAGCAGCCAAATAGGGCTATTAAGTCATAAGTACAATAAAATACCTGGGAATCAATCTAACAAAAGAGGTGAAAGACCTCTACAATTAAAACTACAGAACACTAAAGAAATAAATTGAAGATAACCTCACAAGATGGAAAGATCTACCATGTTCTGGGATAGGCAGAATTAATATTGTCCAAAAGGCCATACTACCAAAAGCGTTATACAGATTTAGTGCAATTCCTATTAAAATCTCAAGAACATTCTTCGTAGAAACAGAAAAAGCAATCATAAAATTTTTTTGGAAAAGTAAGAAACTCAGAATAGCAATCCTTAGCAAGAAAAGTGAAGTAGGAGGCATCACAATACCAGATCTTAAACTGTAGTAACAAAAGTAGCATGGTATTGGCACCAAAATAGAACTTGTAGACCAATGGTTCAGAATAGAATTTTGGTTATGTCATACTAGACACAAATTTGGTTATGTCATACTAGACAAAGGTGCCAGAAACATTCACTGGAGAAAAGATCGCCTATTCAACAAATAGTGCTGGCAAAACTGGAAATCCATATGTAGCAAAATGAAATTAAACCTCTGTCTCTCACCCTGCACAAAAATCAACCCAAACCCTGGGCCTAATAGAAGAATAAGTAGGCCCAAATCTTCACTATTTTGGCCTAGGATCTGACTTTCTTAACAAGACTCCTAAAGCACAAGAAGTAAAAATCAATAATCAATAAATGGGATGGATTCAAATTGAAAAGCTTCTTCTCAGCAAAGGAAACAATTAACGTGAAGAGAGAGCCCACAGATTGGCAGAAAATCTTTGTCACATGTACTTCTGATAAAGCATTAATCTCTAGGATATATAAAGAACTCAAAAAACACCAAAAATCAAATAACCCAATCAATAAGTGGGCTAAGGAACTGAACAGACACTTCACAGAAGAAGAAATACAAATGATCAACAAATATATGAAAAAGTGTTCAACATCTCTGGCAATTCGAGAAATGCAAATCAAAACTACAGTAATATTTCATCTCACTCCTGCCAGAATCATCAAGAATACAGGTGACAATAAGTGTTGATGAGGATATGGGGAAAGAGGTATACTCATACATTGCTGGTGGGAATGCAAATTGGTGCAACTACCATGGAAAGCAGAATAGAGATTCTTCAGAAAACTTGGAATGGAACTACCATTTGCCCCAGCTATCCCACTCCTCAGTTTCTACCCAAAGGAGTTAAAGTCAGCATACTACAGTAATGCATCCACATCAATGTTTACAGGAGCTCAGTTCACAATAGCTAAACTATGGAACCAACATAGGTGTCCTTCAATAGATGAAAGGATAAAGAAAATGTGGTATACATATTCAATGGAATATTACTCAGCTTTAAAGGAGAGTGAAATTATGGGATTTGTCAGTAACTGGATGGAGTGGGAGAATATCATGCTAAGGGAAATGAGCCAATCCCAGAAGACCAGGGGCCAAATGTTTTCTCTAATATGCAGATGCTAATTCACAATAAGAGGGGGTGCGGCACTAGAGAAGAATAGCATCACTTTAGGTTAGGTAGAGGGAAATGAAGAGACAGGAGGGGAGGGGATGTGGGGATAGAAAAGACAGTAAATGAAACAGACATTATTACTTTATGTATATATGTGTCCTATCTGTGTATGATGTATCAAAGTGCATAAATGCCTTCTACTGTCATGTATAACTAATTAAAACAAATAAAAAATTTATAAAGTAGAAAGCATTTAAGCTTCATTACTAAGTACAGAAAGCTAAGTGGGTTATATAAGTTAATGTATTTCTGTAGATGCGACACTAAGTCATTAAAAAACTTAAAACCACAACAAATTTATTCATAGTGCTAGGTTTAAATAATAGTTCCTTGACTCTCCTATATGGTGTGCCTCTATTACGCTTAATTCCATCTCATAGAAAACACAGCCAAGTGGTTGCAATCCCTGGTGCATTGATTCCACCAGTGATGAATGCTTTTCATTTTAACTCAGCAGAGTTTATTTTTTCTTGTCATGTTTCAGGCTTTGGGGATTTGAACCTCCACGATCAAGTCCATCTTCTGGAATGTGCCTGGCTAGAGATCCTAATGATTGGTCTTGTCTGGCGCTCCATGGAGCACCCAGGGAAGCTACTGTTTGCTCCCAACTTGCTCCTGGACAGGTGAGTGACTTGGCTCTGTCTTAGGAGAAGCACATCCTTTATTTTCCTGGTTTATTCTTTCAGATATATATATATATATATATTTATATATACATATATATATCTGCTGTTGGCTCTATGCATTCTTTTGGAAGTACTATGTAGGCTCCTTATCTCAAAAATTCCACATCTCCATTACAAGTGTCACAATCCCAAATGTCTACAGAGCTAGTCAAATGATGTAAATGACGAAGGCTAGTGGATGAGAGTCCAAAGAGGAGTGCTGAGGATTAGGTGACCTTGCCCAGGCTAAAGACATCTGCTGGCTGAACTTGAATAACCTCCCTTTAATTAAGACCTTTTTTGGTGCATGTATATCCAACCCACAATAGCCTTTTCATTTCCTCCCCCAATTTTCCTATCAATAAAATGAGGAGATTTGACAAGAGAGCTCTGAAAGCCACTTCCAGTTCTACAAATTCATTTCAGTTTTCAAATGCATTACCTTCTCTAATGTATTGTACTTTGGTTGCCTTGCAGTGTGGGTCCTACTGTTTTTCTCTTTCGGTCATTGATTAGCGTAATGGGATTTATATGTCACTTAACAGCAGCTACTGGGGACAGTCACCACCCCACACCAGCTGCTGGCCTGAACCCTTTACATTTGTTATCTCATCCAATTGTCATAGAGCTCATAGGAGGCAGGGGCTTATCATCCATGTTTTAGAGAAGGGAAGTCCAGGCTCAGAGACATCCCCCAGCTTGCAGTCAGCAGGAGCCAGTGGGTGGTGGGTTGGCACTTGAACTCAAGGTCTTTCTGGCTCTGGCTCTATGGTTGGCTACTTTAGCTTGCTGTTTTCATGTGCCCCTTGTCTTTCAAAGCTACAGGATGATGGGAGTGTGAAAGGACCATCTTCTTGTTTGTTGCAAACTTAGCCTCCATTTGCTTTGGAGAGCTGCACTGCCTCTCCAGGGTCGCCCTGCTCTGGGGCTCGCTCTACTCACCAAGCCCACTGGAGTAGAGTGACAGCAAAATTCAAGTGTGAGAATACAGTGCAAGGCATTGTTTTGTCATGTTGTGTGAACCTAGCTTTTGAAAAACATTGTTGACACCACTCAAAAAGCAGATTTTGCTGTCCATGGACCATATTCTAGTATCACAGTTTCAAAAACTTATTAAGAATGGCCGCTAGTCTTATTCCTTGGAACCCTATGCTTCATACTGTTTCATACTGTATTCTCTCAGACTTTAGAGGATGTCTTTAGGCTCCTCTCTCCTCCTCTCCCCTCCCCTCCCCTCCTTCCTCTCCTCTCCTCTCCTCTCCTCTCCTCTCCTCTCTCCTTCTTTTCCTGGTCTTGTCATTTCCCCTCCCTATTTCATTTCTCTTTTACTATTTTGCTATCTTCTTTCCTTCTTTCTTTTGCACCTGTCTCCTTTTTTGTATTAAATTTCTTGCCCTATAATAGTGTGGTTCTATATCAAATTTGCAGATGAAAATTTTAGACTTAATATTTCCCTCCTACATACCACAATGTGTCTTCACATTCATAGCTGAACTGATCTGCTCCATGATTTCCATCCTCCTTTATGTCTATCTTTATAGATTCACAGTTGCTGAGAACAGTCATAAAATCATTGTATTTTGAATATGAAAGAGCCTCTGGCGTTACTTCAACCCACTGAACCCATATTGCCGGTGAAGTGAAGTTGCCTAGGATTTGATTAGTCCCTGCCTTTCTTTCCTTTGTACACATGTCTAAAGTGGTTAGTCTTCTCTCACATCTCCTACAGAAGGGTGAGGGGTTCAAAGTTCTCATCTGTATCTAGTCTACTCTCAAAATATCCAGGTTAGAAGTTTCTATTACCTCTAGACTAAGATTCCTCCACCTCTGCCCCGTTGATGTCCAGGGTAATTCTCTCATGCCGGCAGGGGATTGTCTGTGCCTTGTAGAATCTTTACAGCACCCCTGGACTACTGCTAGTTGCCAGTAGCATCCTCCCAGATATGGCAGCCAATACCATCTCCACACATTTCCATATCTCTACTATATGCAATGTGGGTGGCTGAGGCCAAATTATTGTGAACCTGGTTGAGAACCATAGCTACACACTCCTACTTCAATGTCTTACAAGCCCTTCAGACTCACCACATCTCAAAATGAAGAACTGATCTTCCTCATCAAGTCTGTTCCTTTCTTTTTCCTCTCTTAATGACAGATTTACCTAGACCTTGGAGCTATAAAGTTTAAATGAAGGATGGATTCCACTTCCTCCTTCAAGAATACCCAGAATCCAAAGCTCCCTTGGTCTCCATTCTACTGCCTCAGCTCAGGTCCTGGTGGTCTCGTCCTCAGATGACTCACCTCCCTGACTGTCTCTCTTTATTGGCCCCCCACCCCTCTTTTTATCCTCCATAGTGATACCAGAAACTACTTCCCAAGGCACAGCTAGAAGCATGAAGCTTCTGGACTCAGCTACTGTTGGCTCTGTCCATTCTTTTGGAAGTACTATGTAGGCTCCTTATCTCAAAGATTTCACATTTCTATTACAAGTGTCACAATCCCAAATGTCTGCAGAGCCAGTCAAATGATGTAAATGACGAAGGCTAGGAGGTGAGAGTCCAAAGAGAAGTGCTGAGGATTAGGTGACCTTGCCCAGGCTAAAGACATCTGGTGGCTGAACTTGGCGTGAGAACTGTGAACACAACTTCACACACTGCTTCTGAGAGACCTTCCTCTTTGAGTTTCATGTCAGACACTTATGCATTCCATGAGGCTCAATTAGAAACTACTTTTCCATAAAACCTTCCTTCAAACTCTTCTCTTCAGACAGAAATTATCCTTTCCTCTGTCTACAATCTCATGTGCTTGAATTGGACTTCTCTCATCCTGCCAGATGTTAGCTATGGTTGTATTTCTTATCTTCCATACCAGCTCATAAACTTTTCAAGGTCCAGAACCAAATGTTATTTATCTTTGTGTCACCTCCAACATACAAAGTGTTCCATGATCCCCAATAAAAGTTTGCTAACGGCACAGGCCAAGTCAACCAGGTAGCTCATAACAGAATCAGAAGGAGGATCCACATCTTCTGATAACCATGTCATCTGTTATTGTCATCAAGTTTATTTTCTTGTTGTTCATCGTTACTCATCAATTCCTGGCTTATTCCTTTATAAGTTTTGCAGAATAAGTATCCATCTGTTATGGAAGGACTTTCTAAATGTATTAATGCATTTGACTTGTAACTATACTTCTGCTTATACTCCACAACCCTCTTGTACAAATTTTAAATTCTCAATGTGGATGAGCAAAATATTTCCCCCCAATAACTGGCCTCACTATGGAGTATAATTCTTAGTATTACTAAATTTAAGAATAATTAGGACCAGGGATGGTAGTGCATGCCTATAATCCCAGTGATTAGGTTACCTGAGACAGGAGGATCTCAAGTTCAAGGACAGTCTGCGAAACTTAGCTAGACCCCGTCTCAAAATAAAAAAAATAAAAGGAGATGAGGATGTAGCTCAGTGGTAAAGTGGAAAAAATAAAAGAAAGAAGGAAAGAAAAAGAATATTTAGGTACATGTTAATGGTGATTAAAATGTATAAATAAATATAAAAGGTATATAGAAAATCATGTAAAATATAAACAGTAAGATATGATCTAGAATATAAAAATATTCTGTAGTCTTCTAATCATTAACATGCACATAAATATTATTAAATTTTAATATAATGTAAATTAACTTCTTAGTGTTTGAGGATAGCTGCTTTTGATGACATTGATGGGTAGAGAACAGTAAAAAAAAAAAAAGTATTTCAGTCAGCAGCCCATCTGAAACTTTATATGTGTGGAAGATGGCTTTTGAGTGGTGACTGAGAACAGGGTTCACATGGCTTTTTTCTATAAGCTCCCAACCCCTCTGATAGCACTGGACCCTCTGATTAGCACAAGTCACCTCTATCTTCCCATTGCTCTTTTAGAGACATCCATCATTTTCAAAGCTCTGGGGTTGAGGGAGAGCTGGGAGGCAGAAGACAAATGTTGGCACCACCCTTTTTGTTCCATCTCAGGCTTTGATGCCACTTTGGAAAGGTCGGCTGAGGTTGACCATCTCCAAGGGTGGTTTTCATTTACGTAGAAATGGGAAAAGATCAAGCCTAAAGTCACAATGGCCCTTTAAACATGAGGGTCATCAATGCTACTAACTGGAGACAGAGTTTTATCTGTGATTAATTATACCAATGCCCTGTTTTCTCAGATCTTTCTTATGAATCTGGCATTTGTGTCTTACAAAGCCATCGGAAGGGTAGACTACACCCCAGCCTTTTGTAATTACTCAAATGTTTGAATTGGCAAGTGGGGGTTTGGTGAGCATAGGGCTATAAAACCTGCTGGATTGCCCTCCCTGCTATCTTGTGTCCTTTGAGTTATGGCTTGATTTACTCCCGATGACAACTCAGGGTATCTTGATTCTGGTAGTTTATTATTTCCTGGTAGTCATATGCTTGAAGGCTAATTTTATCCTTACCCAGCTTAGCCTGCCCTCAATTTCCAGTTCTTTCCTATATCCTGCAGCAGTGAGGGCCAACCTCTTAACGTTGTCCTTGTCACTTCTTCCTATGAAAACCAAGAAGTAAAGGTTGTAATAAAATGTAAATAAAGAACCCAGTAATTTCTTTAGTAATTTTCCTTAGGCGGTGTGTGTGTGTGTGTGTGTGTGTGTGTGTGTGTGTGTGTGTGTTAGAAGAAGAAAGTTAAAGATAATAGAAATGCCTGTGAAAATAATCAAAAAATGGAGAAAACTCATTTTTCATGCTAGCACCTAATCCTTTGGTGTGTGTTTGGCACTAGAAAACACAAAATATGCCCTCCACGTCTACTAGGAATGAGCCTCTTCAGTTAGTCCTGCTTGAGTGCTCATACTAAAAAATACAGACCAAAAACTGGAGCGGAGGCACTCATCATGTCTCATTTGTTGTGAGGTCTCTTCACTTTTGCAGGAATGAAGTTTACTA